TATTCTTCAAGTAACCTATATTTGACAACAGCATAATAAAACTGGAAATTCTGTTTTTGGTGTGCCACCCCAGTGTTTTTGGGGACCCCTATAAGGCCACCCATATGAAAGGAATTCTGGAGGAGCTCCTGCCTGGATTGACTACAGGAAAGCCTACGACACAATCCCCATACATGGATACTTTAGAGCTTGGGACTGTACAAGGTTAATGCACTGATAACATTCACCAGGACCTTAATGGGACTGTGGAAGACAACACTGGAGGCTAACTCTAGAGCAATTGCACAAGTTATCATTAAGTATGAATACAGATATAGATTCAGGAATGGAGTAACCATAACCCAAATCCGGTACATGACCCATGCTTTACACCAGAAGTGAGACAGTCATCAACTCACTGATGCACCTCACCAGGCAGGATCAGTGATATATGGACACACCTGAAGCCCATACATTTCTCTTAAATAACTTTAGGACATAATAATCTTTAAGGTAAGGTTATGTTAGACTAGATGTAATTTCCTGTATTATTATATTGCAAGAAATTTAAATATTTAATGTGTGAATATCAATATGTGAATCATATTCTGATTGTACATTAAGATTTTTGTCAGACTTCTAATCAGCAGAAAAATTTGGGGTTTGAGGATTTTGCATAAAGGGATATACATAAAGTATTAATATATAGAATGTAAACAACCTGAAAATGATTCATTTCACCTTTCACATTTCAATGTTGATAATGTGTATGGAAAAAATGTCTTTCTGAGGTTTTTGTTTGATGGGATTTGATCATATTTCTATGTCAGCATTAGGGTTAAATGTATTTAGTTGTTTTTTGTTTTGGTTTGCCTATTTGATATGCCTATCTTAAGATTAACTTGGACCAAATCTAACAGCCTAAGCACAGCCCAATTTTCAGAAACCATAAAAACATCCATGGATATCTGGTACTTAATGGGAAAAACTCAAAAATAAATTGAACAGCCAAAAATAGCAATCCCACATGAGGCTTGAATTTCTCCTCTTTGGGCATATTTCTTAATTTAACACCATAATATTCTGAAATGGTACTCTCCACATTGGAAAACGATGCTAAATGGATACCCAGTATGTCACAAATATCACAACAAACATTTCTAACCAAGCATCGGTGTCTGTTGAGATAGGGAATATGCATGCGTTTACTTCAAAGGCCTCATTCTATTTCTGACACGTTTCATTCCTACCCGGTTACCAGACATAGTTAGACCCCATTCCAGAGCAAAATAATGTGGAACCACACACTAAACCTCTCTGCTGTTGGTCCCTATTTGATGTGTACAAGTGGATTATCCAGTATAGTGAGGTACTAAATGGAATAATCAGGGGAGAACAAACATCTAAATTGTCAGCATATCAGGCATGATGGTACATGATACAGGCTTTGTATTTGTGAACACATTACTTATGCCACTGGAGCTGTCACATCTATTTAACTGATGGGGGTAGGGAGGGTAGCTTTAAATGCCGTTATGCATGTTCAAAAAATAACACAGAACGATCAAGAAAACCTGAGAGAAATTAACTGTATACAGTATCCTAAAAGCTAGGCCATTCAGTTGGTGCCTTGAAACCTAAAATTAAAACAGAATAACTGACTTTGATGGAAATCCCACATATTAACTGCTAACAGGAATCTTTTTTTTTGGCACAATTCTTTCCAGAGGCACAGGGGGATCTTTTGGGTTCATTTGCATGTAAAGTGGTGCATGTTCCGTCTGTGGGTTTGAGGTGCCTCCAGACTCCCCCTCCCTTGTAGCCCGCCCGACTGACTCACTGAGCAGCCCTCACTCTTCCCAACCTGCTGGGCTGGGGCACAACAGCGCAGCACAAAACATCTTAAGGTCCTGTCAATCTCTCCACTGGCCAACTGAGGACAGCCTTCTGAAGAGCAGCAGGTTGGCAAAGACAAACACGAGCCATTCACAAAGACTCCCCTCAGCCAGACAGACAAAAGGCATGGACAAGATATTAAAAAGGTTCACATAGGGTTGCTGAGTATTAAGTGCAGGGGTGGAAATTATTCTGAAACTGTATAAGTTTCCAATATGAGAAAAGTATGGAGAGCTAAGATGTGTAGACAAATGTACTGAGTGGCACTTTGTGAAAAAGTCGATGTTGATGGATGTTGATGGAGGTTGCTGGGCATTTCAAGAGAGTGTTGAAACCATCTTATCAGAGTTAATAAAAGGAGAGGGTGTCGCTGGATGACCCATCATCTTTCTTCTCATCAGTGTGGTCTCCAGTCTCACAGCAGTGGCTAGAGGAGTGGGACCTGGCTCGAAGATTGTGTTTAGATAATGGCCATCTCCAATCATAGATAATCTGGCCCCATCTTTTCTTCACAGACACAGCAGCAGACAAGGTCAGGGGGAAAAAGATTCCTGGCGAGGCAAGGCGGAGATAGGGATGGGGCGGCTCTGAGATGATTTACTGCTGAGATTCACTCAGCTGCCTCCATCACCCTCCGTTAACTTTCTCATCCTGTCGTCTCTTCCCCTCTTGCTCTTTTTGTCTTCCATCTCTCAGTCTCTTGCATTTCTCTGTGGGCCTTGTACTGAATCCCCATTTCTGTATCACTTGCTTCTTCTCCTACTTTGCTCTGTTTTGCCAATGGTAGATGGACAAAGAAAGGGTAAAGTGGTTATATGGAAAGATCTATTGTAGAGATGCATTTTTCATTTTGGATTTTAAGTCAATTTTCTTGGGTTTCAAGTGCCTTTTCCTCCAATGACCACAGACCAATTGACAAAAAAAAAACAAAACAAAAAAAAAAAAACAGGGTGCCGAGTACATTCAAAGTACACTGAGTAAATGTTAAATTTGTCAAAACATAGTTGTCATAAGAGACAGATTAAAAGGCAGCTAAGCTCCCCTACAATGCTAAGTTCTTTCTTGAAAATCTAAGGAAAATATAAAGTAAGGCATGAGCCATTGTAATAGACAGCCAGAGAATGTGCTCTATGATCCACAGCGGTAGCCTATTGGCACTATGGTGTGGTGCTATGGCCCCCTACCAGCCATTTTTTGAGCACTGATTTTTATTTCTCCTCCTGACACTCCCATATCCCCAGGGAGAGGACGTCTCTCAGGGACACTGTGCACAAAAGAAGTGCTACCAGAGTCTCCAAATGGAGTAATGGGCCCTAATGTCTGCACAGGCACGTAATCGAGACCTTTCCACAAGTTCCCATGACAGATAATTGCTGATGTCTTGGTAGTGATAAATGTGACTCCATTCTAGAGGTGCAAATGTCCTGGTTCAGCCCTGGATTTGACAGTCTAAAGGCCCCACTGGGATTGGTGTACCTGACTGGTCCTGAGCCTTCCACAGATGACTCCCTCGCTACTTTCTCACTTTTAGTCAGCCCTAGCAGGGCTGTCTATTTTCCTTTAACCACAAGCCTTCATAGTAAATCTCATTTCATTGTCAGCCATGACTGTGGTTTACTTCCCTGGCCTGTCTGCTGACTTCCTGTTGCCATTAACGCTCAATATCTCTGTTGGGGCCTGTCTGCTCAGTCTTATTTCATTCTGTGCTGTGTCCTATCCTGTCCTCCTATATAGAAAGTTCATCTGACAGACTAGCAGGGGCAGCGTAAAAGCCTTCTGTATTTCATTCAGACTACCTGTTCATCTCCCTTCTCTTTCTGCAGAGAAAAGGGTAGTAATTGATATTGGGACCCATCCATCCTCCCCTCTTAAGCCGAGAGATCCAATTTATCTTGGTAAGAATGCCGATTGGCTCTCTCCCAGGCCTTGTCGGTCAGACTTTTCCTGTTTTTAGATGGCCGTTAATTAAAGTGCTGCCATGACAAAAATAAGATCTGCATTGGGGGGGGTATGGCAATTGAAATGGCCCATCAGACTAACACTTGACCACATAAATCAGCAAAGTGACTCAGTGTAAACTGACCTAGGCAGTCTAAATCACCACTCTGAAATGAAAGCACGGGGCTGACACAGACCTGTTCGGTTAGATCAAATTCAGCCCACATAAATCTTTTTTTTTAAAACTTAATCTGCATTATTCTCAGTGATGTTAGTCAAAAGTGACATTAGAATGATCTAGTCAATCACCATGAAAGTCAAATAGCGATGATAGGAAGCTGTGCAAAAGAATCTGCACAATGTTAAAGCAGAATGTGATGTTTTGATATCACAATTCGTTAATTCATACCACAATTCATACCTTTTTGTACTAAGCAAAAGACATATCCATTGAGTTCTACTGAAATGCTCACATCAAATAATGGAAATCATTGAAAATTACTTAATTTAACTTTACATGGTTCCATTTATCAGTACTATTATATGCTATTAATGAGGCAGATAAATTGATAGGAATATAGACAAGTAAAAAGACAGGTTAGTGAATAGGTAGGTAGATAACTCTATCTGAGGTAATGCAGAGTTTTCATAGAGTGATAGAAGGTGTTACTATCAACTACTGTAGTCATGCTCTTATTTTAGGATAAAACACATTATGGCTTTACCACAAATGTTCCAAACGTCTTAGATCATGATACCTCAAAATGTTATTCGGTCGTAGTGCTGAGCCATTTGACATGTTTTTAAGTTCTGACTCATCTTTGTATGTTTGGACGATATTTTCCTCTTAATATTGACTTTAAAATCAGGAATAAAGATTCTTCCCTCCCTATTCTTTTCTATTTTCTCAATATTTTATTTCGTTCCATGTCTTTCTATCTTGCCTTTGAACTGCTCCCAGTGACTATAAACCTGAGAAAGCCCCTCTGCTGGCACAGACTGGGAGTCAATAGAAGCAAGTGACCTATATTACAGGCTAGTCTACTAACTCCTGGTATTTTCTCAAGTGAGAGCAGACTATTAGGGATTACATGAGTGCTATTTCAGTGTATTTGTGTTTTTACATGTGTGTGTTTTCTAATGGGGGGGGGTGGGGGTCCAACAGAGACCAAGAGAAGGTTAATTACCTCCTCGTCCTTCGCTGTCAGCAGGTTTCACCTGGATGGGCCGGTTCATCTGGAGAGAAAGGGAAAGAAGTAGATGGAGAGAAAGAAAGAGTGAGAAGAAAGAAAAGGGAAATCCCACGTTAGCTGGAAACCATATACGGTGCAAGATGTTGCAATGTTCCTGGTGTTAATGTCCTGAGTTTGTCCTCCTCTGTTAGCTAAACACAAAAATCAAATGGTGAAGATGGCATAAAAAGAGATAACTGTCCAGTACTCCATGCCAGCATGTTTAATTAATCCAGGGCACTGCCTCTAGAGATGCCTGAATTCCCCTCACAGTTCAGCAGAATTAGCACTTTTCAATGACGGAGCCACACTGGGTGTCAGATGGCACTTGGAGATTAATGCCATTACATCAGCCACTCCCAGCCCCACCGGGAGAGGTCCTTTCTGGCTGGCCCTTGCTCTTCCTGTCCCCTCCTGGCTCCAGACTCCCAGTCACCAGCTATATCCTGCTCATTCCTGACCCTCAGCAATCCCTCTTTTCTGCCTGCATCCCCTCCTCCCCTTTCGCATCTCTACCCAGGAGCCCTTTTGTGACTTACAACCAATATGCTACTGGTCTGGTCAGCCAACTCCACCCTTCCCAAGCACCCTCCCTGTGCTAGAGCCTCCGAACGGCATAGCTATGAGCTTCTGAAAGGTTAACAGTAGGGAATTAATTTCATAGTGTGGTGAAAGTAAAACATTGCCAAGCTAACATGGAAAAAAAAAAAAAAAAAAAAAAACATATAATATATATTTATTGTCCCTTGTGATATAACACACACACACACACACACACACACACACACACACACACACACATATTAAAAGCTGCCTGCCATGAATAAAACTTCCCCAGGTTTTTTCTCCCTGGAGTTTGAATACTAATACAAAAAATCACTTGATCTAGTGTTACAGATCTCTAAAATACAAATAACATCCCCCTATTCCTCTGTAAAAAAGGTGAGTGGTTTTAAGCCCTCAAAGACCCTTATTTATTGAGGCTACCTACGCACATTGTATTGTATTTTTATTTTTATTTTTGGCATTGGGTTTTCTGTTTGTTTTTTTTTGTTTTTTGTTTTTTTTCCAGACTTCAGTTGGCCATCTTTCTAACTAGGCCACGCAGACAGGTCCAACATGAGAGTGCCAGTGAATGGCACAGAGTACTGCCCACTCAGATCAGTCAGCTAGGGCAGGATAGTGGGTGTTGTGGCCCTCAGGCAACACAGCACTTGACAGCAGTTGACATGAGCTCAGACCTTGGTTGAATATAGACTTGGTGGACACGTATAGACAACTGTATACATGGTGACACTCCTGGGACGTAATGTGCTCTCGAAGCAATATGTTGCGACACTGGAACAAAGCTTTGTAAAATGACAGAGACATCACAAGGCTTGCCCATGGAGCTGTTCACAGATGCAGACACAGAGAAAACAGAGAGTGAGCGAAAGACAGAGACCAGAGCAACCAAATAAATATGTTAAGTTGTTGCTAATTGGAATAACAAAATTTCATATTATATATTCATGGAGTATGCATTCCTCCTGGAGCATAGCCATCCAGCAGATGGCCAGAAATGCAAAGATCAGTTTTTACTCACTGCCCTTATGCTTTGTACTCACTTTTTTCAAGTGTTGGTGTGAGATAATTTGATAAATCACTGAGATAATTTTCACTATCTCTTCTGTTGACAAACGCAGTCCCTCAGCATAAATGTTCTCAATACAAAAAATATAATTTTCTTCTTCTTCTAGGCTACATCCATTGTTCTGTGGGAGCCTGGTTCACTGAGACTCTTCAGTGAAGGAATAAATTTGGAATCCTGCAATTTTGTGTGATAGGAGCCCATGTGAGTCCCCGTGATTACATTCACATGTAAATCTTACACAAAGTTCAGGAGAGGTAAAGTATTGATATGCGAGTCTGCTATTGCCAGAATGTTATTTAGAGTTAAGCTAAGGTGTGGTGTGTACATTTGTAAGTTGTTGGAGGTGAGGTTTTGGGGTTTTTTTGAGGGCAGAAATGGTCTCACATAAGACCAAGAGGTTTAGGGTAGCCTGAATTCCCAAGATCCACGCCCAGTGATCAGTCAGCTTCCAGGTTTTAAATGGAAGCGACTGGTCAGGAGGCTTCATTAGTAGCCCCTGAGCCACTGCAGCAACAAGAGTCATTAAGCAGCCCAAAGTACACTTGGGGTTGCTAGGAAACCAAGTGGAGGTGGCCAGAAGGCAGGCAAGGCAAGCTGGCTGTTGGTCTGTAGGCATTTAGCCAACCAATTGGCACGCTTTTCTTTCTTCTTCTTATTTTTTTTTTACTTCATCCAAGGAGGTCACAGTAAGAAAGGAGGGGAAAAAAGAGATTTCTCAACCCCCACCTTCAAGCATGCCCCACTTTCATGTCCCTTTTTAGTGACTGTGACAATGAGTTTTCGAGGGAGTCTGTTGCAACTTCTGCTCCAGCTCCCTGCCAAATTATGGAATTCATTTTTTTTTTTTGCCAAACTTTGGGGTTGTGAGTGGTGCTCACTTGCATATGGCTGGAGTTAACATGTTTGCTTCTCTGAGCTACTTTATAGTGTCCTCTGCATACATTTTCTTGAGGAAAAACAGAATGTTTCCAGCTTGCTACACAGAAATTGTAAAATTCAACTTTACTTTAATCTTCACTCTCTTTCTCTCACATACTGTGACACACACACAGGAGCACAAAAGTCTTGGGGCTCAATAACAGCAGGTGGCTTAGGTGACATTTTAATCCCTTATTACTGAGTGCAGGATTAGCCAACAGATCAAGGCAGAGTTAATTATATGAATTCATCAGAGGCTGGGGGAAGAGGCTGCCTGCTTTCCCCTTGGGCCAAGACCCACCCCCACCCCACCACCCACCTTTTGCGTGCACACACACACACACGCGCACACAGACACACTGAGAAAGATGACAAGTGACGTTCTAAATGTCTGAGAAGCTAGCTAGTTCCTTATTAGCATTGCAGTGGCAGGAAGCTAAGATAACACATACAGTGGAGCCTCCAGAGATGCTGTAAGACAAATGATATCTAATACCTTCCCATTGGGCCCTGTGAAATGAACTGCGTAGACTTTCGAGACGAAGACTACAAGCTTTCATCCTGCAGACATGTGGCTGCTGAGGCTGAAAGGAGTTCAACCACCCCCCGTCTTGCTTTATCTTTGTCTCTCCCTGCCCCTTTGGCCTCCAAAACCAATATGCTTCCCACCACAGCCCCTTAATGGGTTGATCAATGCTGACAAATAGGCAGCTCATGCTGACTTGCCTGGGAACTCACAGCTATGTGCCTGTGTGCTACTGCACTTAGAGAACCCATCTCTCTTTCTCTTCATCTCTCTTTTTTTTGTCTTTTTCTGTTACTAACTTTTTTCTGTCCATATTTTCCCATTTGTCCATATTTTCTTTCTGTTCATATTTTCTTTATGCATAGAGATTCATTGTTTCAGTTCTAATCTCCAGGAGTGAGTCATACTGTTATGATGAGTAAAAGTCATCTGGAATCGCAAAGGGTTGGACCAAGTATGGAAGAGAGAAACTTTCTTACATTTTTTAACTAAAGGACAGTATATTTCAGAGTGTACACTTGTGTATTTGTGTGTACATTCACTTAAGAATACAGTGGGGCAAAAAAGTATTTAGTCAGCCACCGATTGTGCAAGTTCCCCCACCCACCTAAAATGATGACAGAGGTCAGTAATTTGCACCAGAGGTACACTTCAACTGTGAGAGACAGAATGTGAAAAAAAAAATCCATGAATCCACATGGTAGGATTTGTAAAGAATTTATTCGTAAATCAGGGTGGAAAATAAGTATTTGGTCAATAACAAAAATACAACTCAATACTTTGTAACATAACCTTTGTTGGCAATAACAGAGGTCAAACGTTTACTATAGGTCTTTACCAGGTTTGCACACACAGTAGCTGGTATTTTGGCCCATTCCTCCATGCAGATCTTCTCGAGAGCAGTGATGTTTTGGGGCTGTCGCCGAGCAACACGGACTTTCAACTCCCGCCACAGATTTTCTATGGGGTTGAGGTCTGGAGACTGGCTAGGCCACTCCAGGACTTTCAAATGCTTCTTACGGAGCCACTCCTTTGTTGCCCGGGCGGTGTGTTTTGGATCATTGTCATGTTGGAAGACCCAGCCTCGTTTCATCTTCAAAGTTCTCACTGATGGAAGGAGGTTTTGGCTCAAAATCTCACGATACATGGCCCCATTCATTCTGTCCTTAACACGGATCAGTCGTCCTGTCCCCTTGGCAGAAAAACAGCCCCATAGCATGATGTTTCCACCCCCATGCTTCACAGTAGGTATGGTGTTCTTGGGATGCAATTTTTGTTATTGACCAAATACTTATTTTCCACCCTGATTTACGAATAAATTCTTTACAAATCCTACCATGTGGATTCATGGATATTTTTTTTCACATTCTGTCTCTCACAGTTGAAGTGTACCTCTGGTGCAAATTACTGACCTCTGTCATCATTTTAGGTGGGGGAACTTGCACAATCGGTGGCTGACTAAATACTTTTTTGCCCCACTGTATCTGTCTTTGGTCGGTGTGTCTGATTGATAACAGTGCAGTGGGAGAAAAGACAGACAAGGACACCACTGGCATTTGACCATGTTTCACTATGGTATGTGAATACCACAGCTCACAAAGCAGCCAAGAATAAATTCTATCTATCAGATGCTCTACATACAAATATTGCTCTCTTGGAATAAGTGCTCACACTTGTAATAAGTGCTCACACTTGGAATAGTGTGAACACTTAAACACTTCAGCCATTCTTGAGTCCCCTTGACTGATTCTTTAACTTCTTTCCTGGTTTTTAGATAACTAACATTACCAGATATTAAGAGGACGTCTGATGAACATCTCATCTGTAAGCTGAAATACTTTATCTCAGTTGTTACCTACAACTTAGGCTACTAAACAGCTGGAAAGTATCCAAATGATTAATCGTCCAACTTTGATAATTTGATAAA